GTGTGACATAATCAGAAACAAAACATGAGTAGGTCATATGTGCGCTACTGAGGATACATACATTGTGTCCCACAATATCATGACTCAGTCTATACTTTTTTTTTCTTATTGTGTGTACATTTTTTGTAGGTGTGTTTGTTTGATTGGAAATGTTTGTACTGGGTATTGAATATGTAGAATGGCTCTGATTAAATTAATCTAATAATTGTAAATAATGCAATAGTTCAAACTAAATAAAACAGACACTACAGGGCAACTGCACATAGCCAAGAATGTATCATGTAATCCTTCAGTCCAATGATCTCTGTTTGAGTGGAGACAGCCAACAAGGCGTTTGGTTGAAGATAGTAGGGTATCCTCTATAGTCTGTGTGTCTGTGTGTGTATGTGTGCGTGCGTGCGTGCGTGCGTGTGTGTGTGTGTGTATGTGTGTGTGTGGAGATAGGAGGTCCAGAGAGCTGTAAAAGCCACAGGCTGCGGTTTCTCTGCATTGTTGACAGTTACCCTAATTACACTGTGCTGCACTATACTGAAGACTGGAGCAGAGCACAGAGAACATCACCGGTAATGGTAAACAGATGGGACTGAGTGGGGGAGACAGGGAGGGATGAGCTGAGTGTGTGTTAGTTTGTGGGGGTCAGAGTGGGTTAGGGTGCTATATCAACTCAGCTTAAACTTTTAAAATGAATAAGATATTTTATTTAAAAGGTGCTCAAAGTCAAATAATGTGCTGTCAAATGCTACTAATTGGCTTGTAATTAAACATCAGAGACTACAAGATGCGTTCACTGGTCATCTGCCACTCAGGAACTTTTCCTAACAATGGTAAAGTTGAATGGAAGCAGCATCTCAATCCTCCCAACTTCAACAAGTTTTCAAAAATAAATCCTTTACGCAGTCTTATTCTGCAAACATAATTTGGTGCATATATATTTGAATGAGATGCAAGTAGTGGACGGAAAAAAGAGACTTCCAAGTATTTCACAACTTCTGCACCGCAGTACCGTAATGTCATCCAGATGTGTATTGCGCACCACAAATAAATACCCACAGAAATATAGGTGTAATCTGAGCGTTTGGGGGGAAACACACTTTAGGGATAAAATACACGTAAAGGAAACATACCTTTCATGGCGTTTTATAACTCGTTGAGCACTGAAGAAGAGATGAGGACCCCTGTCACTTTCTGCGCATCTCAGCATCCAGTGCAAAGGTGTAAACTTGCTCCGCAGAAAACGACCCAAACGTATGCAAGGAAACTATCAGTATGTCTTCATGTCGAGTCCTCAGTTTAAAATCCCATCGCCTCTGTCCTGTTGCTCGCTTAGTTTGAGAGGAGTTTTTGCAGGAGTGATGTGATGTTCCCTGAGCCTGAAGGAGGAAGACGTGCTACAAGTGTTAAGTTACACAGAGAAACACGATAAACTTCCGGTGTCGCTTTCAGAATTGAATCGTTTTTTGTTTCGTAACACTGTAAATAAAGCAAACATAGTATATTTCATGAAGAATCACTTTTGTTATCAAGATAAATGTCCTTTTTTAACCAGGTAATGTACTCTCACTCTAACTGTTTAGCATGTCTCTGAATGTGATAAATTGCTAAATCCAGCAGCCAGTATAGCACAACGTTTGCCAAGCTAGGTGAGGGAAAGCTAACATAAGCCTAAATTCAAATGTAACACAATTCAATCTAAAGCTAAGTAAAGTTTACCATTGAACAGGTGTTGCTACAGTGTTTAATTTGTACAAACAATTTAACCATTTCCGAAGTTTACTACAATAAAGCCAGTAGAACTCCTAAAGTTAACCTAGATACAGCACAGTTAACCACACATATGCAAGGCCATAAATGTGCTTCAAGTAAATGTCCAAAACAGATGGTTGTTTTAGCTATATCTGCTTATATTCAACCCCACAGCACGTCTACCCTAAAACAAAGGCCAACCTACCAAACTCTTATTTTGGAGTCTAAAGTGCATGACATCCGGTTTCCCCAAACTTTCTCTGTAGCTTTCTCTTTGTAACTTTAAATCGTCCACACTTTAGTTTGGACTCAACCACTGTCCAGCTGAGGTTTTTGAAGTCATACCAGTGCCTGTCCCGTCCCCCCCTGCTGAGTCTCCCCCTGTGGGGATGGAGGAGGTGCGGACAGACCCCGGGCCGTCGTGCGGGGCTGCAGTAATCCAGCCGGAGATGAGATTAAGTTACTGGGGGTTGATGGCAATCGCGTCCCCGGGTGAAAATCTGGTACCCATTAGAGATCATTTCAAAGGTTTGGGGAGGTGGAGCGACACCGAAACGCGACATTTCAGTGCAGTTCCTGTGTTTTTACATATTCACATCTCATTTCCTTTAAGGCAGAAAATCACTTTCATACCCATATGATATTCCTTTAGGTCCATATGGTTCTCCATAATATGTTACTCATGTGGTTTGGGTTATTTTATCAATTGAATTATCACAATAATCTCACATTCCTGTAATACTGCCAACATTTACATATTTTCAAGACCTTTTTATAAATCCTCCATAAAGAAGAGATAAGAAAACGGCACAGTTAAATTATTTCAATGTGGTCTAGTTCTTTTTTTTTTTTTTTTTTTTTTAATGGAAATTGCTAGAAATATCTGTACAACAAAGAAAAAGCTTTACAAAAATCAAGAAAATAAGACAATAGTATTCTTGGAGTAAATTGATTTTTATAAATTAAGTATCCATTCTAATTTGTTTGATAAAAACAACATTTTTGGACATCATTATATAGCAAAAACGTACCTAATGATGTAAATATACTTTATTTAATTTAATTTATAAGTTAACTCTGGCCTTTATCTCCCTTTAGGGTTTGCAACATGAAACCAGACTCATTTTCTCTGCTGTGATACATATTATTCCTCCTAACTTTTTCACTGGATGATACAGATCTTTACATTGTTTACTTTTAGTTAAAACAATAATTTACATAAAATAGTCCCTATGGACGCCAATACTGACCACGATCCATCATAATTAGGCAGCAGTGGCCGTTTCCCCTTTGACTCCTCCAGGTGCTGTGAAAATGTCAACAGTTCCTGTGTCCATAATCTCTCCGGCCTGCAGATGCAGATCACTGATCAAAGGCTTAACAACAGCTGCATCAGACTAGATCTAAGACAGACTCATGGTTCCACAGAGCAGGTTAGCATCCCTCGGTTATATTGCATTGATTTACAGGAAAAGATACAGATAACACCAACTGTCCAAGCTCTAAAACCCTTTGAGTTTCAAGGAAAAAACGTGACACAGACATCAAACTCAGATCTGTTTTTATTCTCTCTTTGGATAACAGAGCCTTCAAACCCCGGCTCAGTGCTAATAGCTGGAGTTTGACCCAGGCCTCAACATCTTAGATTCCAGACCAGCCTGAGATGATAAATCGGCTAATTACTTGTTTTCCTAAAGGCTTCAAAACTGTTATTTTACTGTCGGCCATAATTGGAGCAGCAGGCTGGTATTAGGAGCCAGATAGGGATCGTGCACGGCGGGCTGATAAAAAGCAGCTGAGGGTCAGGTATCTTACCAGCCCTGCTCCTGCTGGTCCTCATTCAGGGGTTGGGACCTCATTTGCTGGGTCAAGGCTTTTTAGCAGTGGGCTCAGATTAACAGAGAGCTGAGAAAGCACACAGGAATTCCACATTTACCACGCTGCTGTTGCTGCCATGTTTAGATAGCATGATAAGAACTCAGATTGTCTTGTGTGCAGCAGGACAGTCGCTGGTGCTAGAGGCATGAAAGAAAGAAAGACATTTTGCTTTTTCTCTCACAGAAGGAAGTATGATCCAGGATTTAACCATACAGTTTGAGAAAAGTGACATTAGCGTCCTCTTTAAAGTTGTTTTTTGCACTTTCTGTGGCCTACAGTACAAAGCAAAGCCTAACTCCAGTTTGTGCCAGGTCTCTGCAGGAAGCTCAGGCTTACTGTCAGTCTGATGGAGATTAGAGCAGAACGTCTGACCTGAGGAGTCTGCAGGGGAACAATTAAATGAGATAGACCTGCAAACAATTGAGCATGTCATTTCTCCACTGCGCTAAGATTGCCCTTAACGACATTGATGTGTTGTGCTGGCCGCGTAAGGCTTAATAATGCAAACACACTAATAGGATCTGTGCTTGTGAATAGATCCATAAAAATAGAACAATCTTTAGAGGAAGCAGGCACCTCACTCTCAACTCTCCAACAGCAAAACCTGCTGCTTCTGTTCTGGAGTCTTGTGTTGCAAGGTTGTCAAGGTAAATATGCTTTTGCAAGTCATTTTGTTTCTGTTTTGCATCTAGAATAACCACAAATCCACCCTTTAAAAGGATCCTTGGTAGCAGCAAGTACAGCTAAAATGTTCTGTTTTGATTTATTTTGGGACACATGCATGGATGCAGGGATATTTACAAAACTGGTCAGTGTTTTTTAAGTTAATGAACATATTTATGATTGAGAAAGACATTGCAATATGACACATGTCTTCAATGAAGGTGGCCTCAGTGCCAGTTTTCGCTGATTCATGTTCTATTTTGGTCTTTTTCTATTGATACATGAACTCAGAAATGTATGCATTGTTTCAATAGAAGTAACAGTTGCACACTGTTGCAAAAATAGGAATTAATGTAATTGTGTTCATTTCTTTATAAATAATTAAGTTGCCTTGTATTATGGCTATTATCCTTATTATGTAATGGGATTTAGTCCTACTGCAGTAGCTGTAGTTAATGGAAATCTCTTCCGGTAATCTTGTTTATTTTGCTCCACACTGATGTGATAATCCATGCTAATAAATGAACATTGGGATAATGAGTTGCACATTATGTTGTATTCATTTTGAAACGACCTCTATATGTAACTCCTTAAGAAATGGCACCACCTTGTGGAAGATACATTACATATTCCATTAAAGTTAGTACAATCAAAGCCTGTCTTTGTTGGTGCTGTGTGGTGACAGAATAATGAGAAAGATTTCCTTTTTTCAAGACAAGATGAAGAGGTTGCTTTTTCAAATTATTTGCATTACTGAAGTCCTGGTCTCTGCGGCTGATTCCTCTCCACTGAGCGAGGACATGCTGAAAAGTGAGGCCTTCATCTATAGAAAACCTACAGTACTTTTTCTTACTTATATTGGTGAATAACGGCATGTCTCTTTGTCTGTGTAGAGCTGTCTGCAGCAGGAGAGCAGTGTGTCGATGAGGAGATAAAGCGAGCGTTACTCGGGGTGAAGCGGGTGAAGGAAACGATGGAGAAAAAAGAGGAGAAGCACAGGAATCTCATGGACGCCCTGCGGCACAGCATTGACAAGAAGAAGGCATAAATTGTGTTTCTTCACATCAAAATACCAAGAAGTCAGGCTGCATTCAAACACACTTGAAGAACAGTGTAGTTGAACAGTTCCATGCCAGTCTTTGTGCGATATTCTGAAACCCAATACATTTTTTCTGCCTCATAAAGGCAAAGCCACGCAGACAGACATCAAAGCAGAGGGTGACACATCCTTGTGGGAGTGGGCCTATCAGGGTTGAAGTTTTACTGTTAATTTCTTTTTAACATTAAAATACCAAGAAGTCAGGCTGTATTCAAACACACTTGAAGAACAGTGTAGTTGGTAATACTTGGTATACATTGTGTTTCTTCACATCAAAATACCAAGAAGTCAGGCTGCATTCAAACACACTTGAAGAACAGTGTAGTTGGTAATACTTGGTATACATTGTGTTTCTTCACATCAAAATACCAAGAAGTCAGGCTGCATTCAAACATACTTGAAGAACAGTGTAGTTGGTAATACTTGGTATACATTGTGTTTCTTCACATCAAAATACCAAGAAGTCAGGCTGCATTCAAACATACTTGAAGAACAGTGTAGTTGGTAATACTTGGTATACATTGTGTTTCTTCACATCAAAATACCAAGAAGTCAGGCTGCATTCAAACACACTTGAAGAACAGTGTAGTTGAACAGTTCCATGCCAGTCTTTGTGCGATATTCTGAAACCCAATACATTTTTTTCTGCCTCATAAAGGCAAAGCCACGCAGACAGACATCAAAGCAGAGGGTGACACATCCTTGTGGGAGTGGGCCTATCAGGGTTGAAGTTTTACTGTTAATTTCTTTTTAACATTAAAATACCAAGAAGTCAGGCTGTATTCAAACACACTTGAAGAACAGTGTAGTTGGTAATACTTGGTATACATTGTGTTTCTTCACATCAAAATACCAAGAAGTCAGGCTGCATTCAAACACACTTGAAGAACAGTGTAGTTGGTAATACTTGGTATACATTGTGTTTCTTCACATCAAAATACCAAGAAGTCAGGCTGCATTCAAACATACTTGAAGAACAGTGTAGTTGGTAATACTTGGTATACATTGTGTTTCTTCACATCAAAATACCAAGAAGTCAGGCTGCATTCAAACACACTTGAAGAACAGTGTAGTTGGTAATACTTGGTATACATTGTGTTTCTTCACATCAAAATACCAAGAAGTCAGGCTGCATTCAAACACACTTGAAGAACAGTGTAGTTGAACAGTTCCATGCCAGTCTTTGTGCGATATTCTGAAACCCAATACATTTTTTCTGCCTCATAAAGGCAAAGCCACGCAGACAGACATCAAAGCAGAGGGTGAAACATCCTTGTGGGAGTGGGCCTATCAGGGTTGACGTTTTACTGTAATTTTGTTTTTAATGTGGTTTCAAAATAAAAGGGCTTTGTGTGAAGGCTCCAACCACTTCCTATCCTCTTAGGCTTATTAAATGGGCCCTATTCTCATTTTTAGGTTCATATTTCTATGTAGTGCCTCTACTGTGACATGTCTCCTTGCTTTTCACCCTCTGTCTGAAACCAGAGCCCAGTCTGCTCTGATTGGTTAGCTGGCAAGCTCTGTTGTGATTAGTAAACTGCTTAGAGATTTCCCGCCCCTTAGCCTATCAAGTATATGTGTTGGAGCGCTAGCCAATAGAAGTGCAATGTTACATAGTGATGTCATTACGGAAGTAAACAAATGAGTCCAATGGACACGATCAGGCAGGGTGGGAGTGTGTGGGAGAGAAACTCCCTCGGAAGGGAACTTTGGTATTTTAGACTTTGCAGCATTTACATGCAAGAAAAACCTATAACACACTACAGGAGGGGGAAAACCCCAAAAAGCATAATAGGTCCCTTTTAAGAGGTAACATATACTGTATCTATGACTGTTTTGGGGTTCCTTCAGGGCGCGAGCCAGCTGGTCTGGGAAACAGAGCTGAAACTAGAGGAGGCTGAGCAACAATGTCAAGACGTAACGAAGTCTTCCTTTGAGGAGTGTCGACCGTGTCTTGAAGATGCTTGGCCTTCTTCACCTCTACATGTCACCGTGGCTTCTCCTCATTTTCATTCAAGGTTTGACATAACATGTTTCTTTCATAATTAAGCTTCAAAAGGATAAGGGTGAAGACTAAATTGTAACAGGATTCATGCTTCCTCTATGTATCTTTCTGCAGTTGGAAGAGTTTCTAAGCAAAATAGCCGCCCAGCTGGAGGCCACAGAGCATCTTTACAAAAAGGATGAGAACATGGGTCGCACCGACTCACCCGAGACAGAAGATCTGGAGCTTCTTCAGGCAGATGCTTCCTTCAGCCAGTTGCTGTCAAACATCAGCCTCCTGTACAACCAGAGCATCATGCTGGTGAAGAGGAAGGAACAGGTGTTTGGGGACTCCTTCCTGGCAGCCTTCACCACAGAGTCGAGACCCAGCCTGGTGTCAGCCATGCAGAGCCCTGGCTTCTTCACAACGCTGGGATTCTATCAAATCCTCGGCTCGGTGTCTGACTTCGGGAAGAATGTGCTGGAAGAATTGAGCTCCACAGTGGCTAATGTATTTGAGGAGATAAAAGAAGCAGAGGTGTACTTTCAGCAACCAAGCACAGGTATCTGATGTCAAGACATTTGTGTGTATTATATAATTATATCCACCGTAACATCTGTGATTGTATGTCTACAAAGATGCAGGGTCCCTCTCTGCTCTGGGAACGTCCCAGAGCAGAAATCTTTGCAGACGTCTCCGCAGGCAGGCATCAGAGTGCTGGCAACTCCAACATTTGTGCGAGACGTGTGAAGATGATCTGTTAAAAGGTAAATAATGAAGAGATCATTCCAAATCTATTTAGCTCACCATTTATGTGCTTATTGCAAAAAGGACCTCAACCTCAAATGCAGATTCTGGCCCAAATAACAAGCTTTTTTGCCCAGGCGGACAGTTAAAAAATGTCTTATTTATTGCAGTGTTCACTTTAAAGTCTTGCTATTTCAACTCAAAGGGCATACTATTGATCATGAGTAAATTGTTGACTTTCACTCCACGGGTATTAATAAAATAAAGATCTCCTCATGTAGTTGAGTTCACGATGCACACCATGGATTTGTGTGTTCTCTCTATGTGATGATTTGTACTTACAGAGTGTCCCAGTGTCCAGCAGTTACACTCTGAGGTGGAGGCGATGCACTTGCTGCTCAACGCCTCCCAGCAGCAGTACGACGACATGCTGCAGTTGGTGCAGAGACACACAGCGGACACACAGAGGTGGCTGAGCAACATGCAGGACCGGCTGTGCTGGGTCAGCCAGCTGTCAAACAGCACAACGGGCCCACACAACATCTTCAGTGTGATCACAGTACGTTGGTAGAAGTGTAGAATGTGTTACACTTTAACTTACAGTAGGTGATCCGGAATGTTTTGAAGGTTCCTGTGTGGCAAATGCATTTTATTACTTTTTATTTTTCTAGATAATGTGAATTTCTTCCCCAAAAAGCCACCAAAATAATCCTGTTTTGTGCCATTTGTATTGTGTTTAAAATAATAGACTTGATGCCTGAAATGTTTAATTATTTTTAAATCGAAATTACAAAACTAACCAAAGACATAGGACCTGACTGTATAATAGAGCTTTCAAATATATATTATTATTTTGGCTGTCAAAGAATCTTGTTATTGTTATATTTGTATGGCATTTGAGGCAGAGATGATTTGTTGTATTACCAGCACTGATACAGTTTCACTTTATCTCAAATTGTAGGTGGATGCACAGCAACAGATAGAAAGCATCAGGCCTAAAGCAGACAGCCTTGTGGTGGTAACCATACTGGACTCTGCCCCAATAACTGTCACAGTTCCAGCAGAGCTGGAGGTGGAGGACCCAGCTTTTATCCAATATGTAGCTCAGGAGGCTCTGATACTCCATAAACAGCAGATTAGAGGTATTGATCCCAGCAGATAGGGGCTTAGGAGTTTATTTGGCTCCCAACTTCACCTGGCAGTGCACCCAATTAGATTTAAATAAAATGAAATGTGCTTATATGGAATATTTAAGTTTACTGCCTTGATTGTTGGATCTTACACAACTGAAACTAATTCTTTAAAAACAGTACTGCAATTTAAATGTGGATACAACAGCATTGAGAAATTACAATTACCTTAATTATAAATAAATGTGGTACTATACAGATAATGAATTTATGTTTAGTTAATATAACTAAAACGTGTTGAAAATATGATTTATTTCAATTTTTCCGTTTTCCCACATTGTACTTGTTTTAAATGACTGAAATTACTTTTGTTTTGCTTTTTAAGTATAATTTATTTATTTATATAATTGTATTTGTCTTTCCGAGTCCCTTTTGGCTTTTGGCAGGCAAAAGTGAATCTGTTCCGGTCTGAGTTTTTGTTGTAAAGTAATAAAAAGGGGCGTACTACTCTCGCGAGAGTTGAGTTAAGTTACCCGGGAAAAACTCCCGCTTCAAATTAGTGATGGGAATTCCGGCTCTTCTTGGTGAGCCGGATCATTTGGCTCGGCTCACCAAGAAGAGCCGGCTCTTTCGGCTCCCAAACGGCTCTTCAGTTTACTACATATTATACCTTTTATAATTCAATCAAATGTAGCCCTGTTTTGACTCATGATTTATATGTGTACACATATCACTTAAATTATTCAATACATCCTTTGTACTGAAGTATTCAAAAGTAAAAATTACATGTTTAATATCAATTATTTGCTGTGGCCAGTTTTCATTGCATTTACAGACCCTTGTATCTCTCTGATACCACCCAATGAATGCACTGACTTGCTTGAACCACGCTACACAAAGCAGATAGCAACACCTATAAAAAAACCCGAGGTGACAGGGCTTTCAGTGTTGCAGCTCCTAGACTGTGGAACAGCCTCCCAGTATATATCCGGACTGCTGAGTCTATTGAACTTTTTAAATCTCAGCTAAAAACTCACCTCTTTGCACTGGCTTTTAATACTAGTTGAACATTACATTTTTACATTTGTATGTGTTTTTTTTAAATATTTTTCTAGTTGTGCTTTTTATCATGTTTTTAATTATTGTTTTATTATTGTACTCCCATTGTGTTATTTAATATGTATTGCCTGTACAGCACTTTGGTCAACTGAAGGTTGTTTTAAATGTGCTATATAAATAAATAAAGATTGAGATTGAGATAAAAACTTAAGCATAGACATTTAAATAAAGGGGCTACTGTATCGACATTTTAAAATTATATTTAAAGAAAAGGCCCTGACTAAACAGCAGGGCTCTATTTCAGTATTAACTATAGAAAAAAAGACAGCAACAGCTGACATCAAATCTTTGCTGAGCCCAAGGATAATCATAAATAAATGACATAGTGAAAATAAATATATTGCAATGCTCAGTACAGCAGCATCCAACAGTCTCTAATCCTTGGATATTACATGTCACTGCATGCATGCACGGAGCAGCTGTAGCGCGGAGATCATCATATCATTCTGTCTTGTATTACTTAACAACAAAATAACAAAAAAAAACGGCTCGTTCGCGGGCGCGAGCCGGCTCCCGTCGTTCACTTAAAAGAGCCGGCTCTTTGAGCCGGCTCGTTCGCGACCGACACATCACTACTTCAAATCGAACAAAAACAAAACAGCTCTGTCTGTCAAATACTCTTATTCCCTCAACATGCCTGCCACTTCAAAAATACACGTATCGCAGGGCTGGGAGACGGCGAAACAGACCCAGACGTCGGTGGTGGAGGAGAAGAAGAAGAACTTTGGTGTTTTCTGTGATGAACGCGGGTATTTGGATCAGATTGAATACATCATGCAGAACGGCCGAACCAAGGGGGACAGAACCGGGACTGGAGTAGTGTCTGTGTTCGGGACTCAGGCTAGATACAGCTTGCGAGGTCTGTCACATTATACCCTTTATTGTTCTGTATGTATTAGTCTATTATGCATGTGCACTTGTTAGTTATTCTAACAAACAATTGTGCAGGAGGTTTTCCTTTCATTTGAAGTATCAATGAATCAAAGTGTATTCATATAACCCAATATCTCCCATTTTACATTTGTCTCAGTGGACTTAACAGTTTTTACAGAATATGGGGAAACATGTTAGAAACTTCGGGGAGAGTGAGAGGAGAGATCCCTCTCCCATGACGGACAGACGTGTCATATGTCGTGTGCACATAAAACACTTGCAACATAGGTAGTCCAAATGCTCGAAAATGCATTTGTCTATAAATAAGAAGATGATGAATCCAGGTGGATGTCAACAATCCTGTGGGAGCCATCAAAGAAAAGGTGAGCAACAGGCTAGAAGAACACAGAGACAAGAACACAGAGACAGGCACACCCACGACTCAGGAACACAGCAACAGGCACGGACACGACTCATGATCACGACTCAGGCTGCATCTCAAGTCGGTTATTTTCCTTTCCTCGGTATCACCGGAAGTTGATTTGTCTGCGCCATCTGGAGTAGCGTCCCATGGCGCTTATTTTTGCCGGAGGACCGAGGCCGTTTCTCAATCGCGAGGATGCTGGCTTGGTAGCACAGCCGAGCCGAGCATCTTGCTTCAGAAGCAAGGCAAGAATACTTCCTGGCATTCGGAAAACGAAGAGTGGAACAGGCTAGCAAGTGTGCAGGTTTGCGTCATATGAGAGGCCCCGCCTTACATCTTCCGCCACAGATTTGGGGAAATTGGTCCATGCGCAAAGCATTGTGGGGATTTTAAGGACGCGAAGTCTACCCATGTGCAGCCTCGAAATTTCCCCCAAACCAAGGACGCGGCCTCGGTGGAATTCCAAGTATGCTGGAGGTTGGAACAGTCCTTCGGCGGCACTCGATGACGTAGCATCCTTGAAATATTGGCTTGGAAGCCAATATACTCGCGATTGAGAAACGGCCCGAGGATCGATAATGGAGGAGCGATAATCGAGGAACTACCAGACCATCCTCCGATGAAATCCTCAGATACGCGCCCCGCCCCCTTACTGTGTATCGCTCACTGATTGGACGATGCAGCGCATGCACTGATCTGATGCTTCTTGACATGAGAGCAGTTTCCCAGCGTGAAGAAAATACATGAAACTCATGAGAGTCACTCCTCAGTTTATATTGTGTTTTGATTCAATTAATGTATTATTTAATTACAAATATGTGATATATCTGAACAACAAAGTGGTCAAATCATTTTCATGATCGCTTTTTTCGTTTTACATTTTCATTTATTGTCATTTCCATTCAGTCAGTCATTAAGTACTATTTAAAATGTTAATTTGCTACATATCCACACAAACAAACAAAGTGTGCAGTCCAATGAATGTTAATCTAACTGGGTTTTGATAGATAACATATCTCTTTTTCTTCTGAATTATTTTATTTCTATTGTGCACTCTAATCAATATTAATCTAACTATTGTTCGTTTATACATTTTAAGAATGGCGTTTATCTTTTTTGAGAATGAGTTCTTATTTTATTTAATGTATTTGGGTCTACAACAGATGATACAAATGTTTATGTCAGTAAATGTGTACTAACAGAGGCGGGGGTGTTTGTGAAAACAACGGGGACAGAGCTGGCTGCTGTCAGACGAACAGTAAGAGTAAGAAGTACACCGTTTCTGCATTTTAATGGAGTGGTACTGAAATGCCAAAGTTATGTCTCTGGTATCAGCAGTACATCGTTTCTCCACCAGGGAGAACTGACCGGTTACTTTATTACAAAAATGTTCAACTGTTAACATTTCTTATCCATATCTTGGTCAGATTTTTGTAATAATAATAATTGCTACAGGAAGAGGATGGAGGTACAGTTGCAGCAGAGGAACGTCAGCTGTGTCTGGAGAGGCCTAAAAACCATCACTGGCTACAAAGAGCCAGACTCTCAGGTCCAGGGGGGCCAACAGTGGGCAAACGACCTGAACATTTTCTTTAACAGATTTGACCAGTCTGGCGCCCCTCCCTGGCCCCATTCCCTGGCCCCATTCCCCCCTGCTGCACTGCATTCGAGGTCCAGATGGCATCAGCTCAAGGCTCCTCAAATCCTGCGCAGACCAGTTGTGTGGGGTGGTGGACTTCCTCTTCAACCTGAGCCTGAAGCAAGGGAGGGTACCACTACTGTGGAAGACGTCATGTGTGATACCTGCGCGAAAGACCCCCCGAAGGATTTCAACAGCTACCGGTCGGCGGAGCTGACATCACAGCTGATGAAGACCCTGGAAAGGCTGGTCCTTGGACACCTTCGGCCCCGTGTGAGGACATAGATGGACCCGCTGCAGTTCGCCTGACATCGGGGTGGAGGACGCTGTCATCTACCTGCTGCAGAGGTCCCTCTCACCTGGAGAAGGCTGGGGAACACCATCCAGCCCCTGCTTCTGAGAGACAAGCTGCAGCTCTTGGGGGCGGATCGCCATCTCATCGCCTGGATCCTGGACTACCTCACCAACCGTCCGCAGTACGTGAGGACAAAGGAGTGTCAGTAAGACACCATCATCTGCAGTACGGGGGCCCCCCAGGGGGCGGTGCTGGCGCGGTTTCTCTTCACCCTCTACAGTGCGACCTGCCACCTGCAGAAGTTCTCTGACGACTCGGCCATCGTCGGCTTCATCTTCAACGAGGACAACAGGGAGTACAGGGAACTGACCCAGGACGTCCAGCTCCACACAGGGAAGACCAAGGAGTTGGTGTGGGATTTCAGACGGCTCCGACACTCTCCGCCACACCAGTGAACATCCAGGGAGCAGACAGTATGGCTGCCGGAGAATGGCAGCCATACTGTCTGTCCGCTGCACTGTTCAGCTCCTTCCGTGACAGGCTGCTTCACCCGCGGTGTTTCACAGAGATATCGCAGGCCCGCTCTCCCTGCAGCGATCAGGCTTTCCAACCAGCATGGCCCTGGTAGACCCCCATACTCACACTGTAATTACACCAATGTGCAATAATATAACAAACAAGA